GTGTGTGTGTGTGTGTAGTGTTCATGGAGATTGTTGGGGAGAAGTCTCGCCACTCGCTACAAGAAAACATGCATCTGATCACAGTGCCCCTGCAGGTTATCTGGGGGAAGGAAGACCAGGTAAATTAACAACCCCACAGCAGTGATGATGATTAGAAAACAATGTCTCAGCCCCAATTTTCCACCCTTTGCAGGTAGGATGTACTGCTTCTTTAAAAAAAAAAATAAAAAAATTAGGGGTGCCGGTCATCAGAACTGCCAAGTGGCCCTCCTCATCTACTTGTGCTCACTACGTCCTTCATATTTAAATTATCGAATCACTGTTGAGAGAAGTTTAAACTTTAACAGTATCCATATTAATAAGATAGAAATTAAATTGTACTGTTGAAATAAAAAACAATTTCTACCAGGCTGTAAATATGCCTTTTAATGCTGTAATGTTCGAAGTTCATTTTAATATGGAAGTCTATACGAATTGACAACATAGCATGAATATCTGTAAATCTGTAAATCTGTAAATCTGCGTCATGTGATGTCTGGATATTTCAGTGTGTCAGTACAGCCGTGCTGCAGCGTCACACAGAGCTGTGACACACTTGTCTGAACTCTCAGGTGCTGGACGTTTCGGGCGCCGCTGTGCTGCAGGGGGCGCTGCCTCACTGCCAGGTGACGGTGTTGGACAGTTGTGGTCACTCTGTGGCTCTGGAGCGACCGAGAAAAGCCGCCAAACTCATCACGGACTTCCTGTCTGAGCAGGCAGTCAGCGATGGCAACGTAAAGAAAGTTTCTTGAAGAAAAACCTTTGAACTGTACTCTGACTCCTGACCTCATGATGATGAAGGAGAGGAGAAGGATGATGAGATTTCTACATCAACGTTTATGTCTGTAAAAAAAAAAAAAACCCCTGAACAAACGCACAAAAGTATTACTTTACTTTAAGATATTCCTGATGTTTTCATCTGTATGACTCTTACTCACTGCCCTGCAGGCAGCTGATATCCATAATCTTTAGAGTTTAATGTCATGGTATCAGTCCTCGTTTTCACGTTTCACTTTCAGAAAACTGCATTGTAGTCTTCTGTTTACAGCTGTTTGTGAACTATGCAGTGGACTGACTGCATAATTAACATCACAAAAACACATCAGACTGAATTTACAATGAAACATTTACTGTTGATATGTGATTTGTATCCTTTAGCTATTAACTTTAATATATAAAGTTTGAAAAATGGTGGAATTAAAAGATTTTGTGTGTTTAAGATTGTTGGTTGAAAAATCCTGTCATTTTGGAAGACATAACACATCAAGTAATTTATTCAAGATGCACAGGAAGTAGTCACTGCCCACGAGGCCCTGCAGATTTATTTGTCACATGTTGTTAGTACAGGGTCAGCATTACAATGAAATGTGTTTGAAGAGATGAAACATGATTAAAATACTAAAAGTAACATGATTTAAAAAAAAATAAGATGAAAAAAGTAGAGAGAACTACTTTGCGCAATGTATTGCAGTAAAGTAGCAGTTCAGCTGGGACTGAATATGTAGTTAAACTTCTTTTTACACTTACACACGCAAGAGGGGCTTCACTGGTCTGGCCCACTCAAGATCAAAACAGGATGTGTGTAGCCGAAGAAGATGAATGATGTAAGCTCAAGCTGTGAAGTTTAATATGCTATATGCTATTTAAAAGCACCACTGAAAGGTTAGGGTTAGGGTTACACAAGTTGTAAATGTTATTTTGACATTGTGAGGGCGACGAATCAAGTCCTGTCAAATACAACCTGAAATTAAAATAAATAAATAAATTTATAATTAATTTGTCATCCATTAGACAAACATTTGAATTATTACCTCAAAATGTTGATTCAATAACTCAAAAATTCACAAATTAATTTTAAATTATTTTGTCAGAGTTAGTGAGTTAGTACTGTTGTATGTTTTTTGTGGCAGTGGCAGAAACAAGCTTCCATATCAGGTTTTCAACGTACAAGACAAAATAAGCCGTCTCGTGGCGAAGAGTGACCCATCTTGCAGTTTTCCGCGTCTTTGCGAAAGCTGGTTGCGCATGCGCTGCTGGGGTCCCCTTCCCCCTTGGTGAAAGACGTTTCTCTGGGACTGAGGACTTCTCGGCACGCTGTGTGTCCTCCACGTTTTAGCAGCTGGTGAGTGAAGTGCTTCTGCTTTTATTAAACTTCAGAACAAATTAAAAACGTTCATTTCTGTGTGCGGAGTCGATAACAGTATCAGCTAGCAGCTACAATAACTTAGCTGAAGCTAACGGGTTCACCTTGTCCAGGGTTAGCCGCTTTCAGCTTCGGGTTTTAAAGGCTGTACGGAGTTTTCCTCGTGTTTTATTGACGTTTCACTGTCAGATCTCTGGGCTTCCCAAAACGTAATATTTTAGAGCTTATCAGGTTTCCTCTGAGGTGTTCCTGTTTGTCTTTGTTGTTTGCTTTTGTGTAAATGCAGCAGTTTTGTTACCCAAAGCTGCTGTCCAAAGGTCCAGCCCGTAACTAGAATATTTACAAAATGCTTTAAACACCTGCTGCTACAAGTCTTTGATAGTGCACACTGACAGGCCCTCACAAGCTTGTGCAAAATAAAGTGTAACGCACATGGTTCCTGCTTTAGTACAGGTATTCTCTGTAAGCGCCACTGTTTTGATTTTTTTTATAGTCAGCTGATCCACCTGCTGCTCTTCATCAGACAGAGGCTGAGCCACTGATGCTCTGATAGAATGAAACAGGTGGAGGAGAAGGAAGAAGCATCTGTCTACCAACGGGTCGTGTTGAAAAACGCCTCACCGTACCACTACCTGAAGGTCCGCCTGTAAGTTCCTCATCGTGTTTTTAGAGTTTGATGTTGTGCTGATATTTGTACACACACACTTTATTTTTTCCTCTGTGTCTTTAGTGTGCTGGAGGATGAGTCAACCAGACTAAGTGCAGTTGAACTGAAGTACTTCATCATCACAGGCCTGAAGTCTCTGTATGGAGAGGTGAGACCATGAAGACCAGCGAGGAGATAAGGAGCTTCTGTGTTTGTTTTACTTGTTTTATTGTCCTGAGTTTCAGAACCTTTGTATAATGTGAAGATTAATTTGCATTAAATACACCAAGTATTCACTCGCCCATTCAAATCAATGAATTCAGTTGTTCCAGTAACTGTCTTGGCCACAGGTGTATACAATCAAGCACCCAGGCATACAGACTGCTTCTACAAACATTTGTGAAAGAATGGGTCGCTCTCAGGAGCTCAGTGAATTCCAGTGTGATGCCTTAATATGATGCCACCTGTGCAACGAGTCCACTTGTAAAATTTCTTCTCTAAGGAATATTCCACAGTCGACTGTTAGAGGTATTAACAAAGTGGAAGCGAGCGTGAACAACGCTAACTCAGCACGAAATGGTATTCTATGTAAAATCACAGAGTGGGCTCAGCAGATGTTATCTCTATGCCCTAGTGTGCAGAGTTTGCCGACTTTCTGCAGAGTCAATCTCTACACACCTCTAAAATTCATGTGGCCTTCAGATTAGATCAAAGAACAGTCCGTAGAGAGCTTCATGAAATGGGTGTCCGTAGCCAAGCAGCTGCATCCAGGCCAAGCAAAGCATCGGATGGAGTGCTGTAAAGTACACCACTACTTGTATAACACCCCACTACAAACACATACTTGTAAGCCTTGCGGAAAGCTTTCCCGGAAGAGTTGAAGCTGTTATACCTGCACAGGGTGGGCTGATGTCATACTCTATGGATCGAGAATGGTATGTCACTCAAGTTCATAAGCGTGTGAAGGCAGATGAGTGAATACTTCTGGTAATATTGTGTATACTACCAGATGTGGGGCTCGTCCCAGCTTTGAAGTGACTGTTTGTTTGTGGTGATCTGGATCAGATCAGATTGTTTGTTTGTTTTTGGGTTTTTTTGTGATAATGTATCTTCACGTAAATGTCAAACTGACAGATGAGGTCAGCCAGGGGTCTCCATGTACTAAGATGATCACAGATGAAATTGTGATCTCTAGTGAGAGTAGGGAGCAGGTGGAGGTATGTGCTGGAGAGAAGAGGAATGGAAGTCAGTGGAAGCAAGACAGAATACATGAAAAGTACATGAGTGAAACTGCACTAATAAAAATAAATAAATAAAAAAAATGAAGGTAGAGCAGAATATGTTAAGATTTTTATTGGGATTGACCAGAATGGGTGGGATTAGAAATGAGTGCGGATCAGAGGGACAGCTCAGGCTCAGTTTAGAGCAAAAGTTAGATACAAGGCTGAGGTGGTTTGGACGTGTGCAGAGGAGGAAGATGCTGAATGTGGAAGGTGAGATTGAAGCAGATGAAAAGGAAAGGAAGATGTTCTGGATAGTCCAAACTATCTGAATCCAGGGTCCTAATTCATGCGTAGTGTGGAGGGATCCAGTTTTGCTTTTCTTACTTTGTTTTCACTCCTCAGGTGGGAGCAGCGGTAAACTTTGACGTCCTGAAGTACGATGAGGACACCCTGACCGCTCTCCTCCGCGTTTACAGCAGGTGACCACCGGCCATGAGAGAAAGGGGGCGGGGCGGGGTGGGGTGTTGGGGTTTACTCAGGCAGCATTTTGAAAGCACGTGGGACAGCTGAAACTGAACCAGACTAACCACCACTTGTTGGTATCATTTTCTTCTTTTATTGTGTGTGTTTGCAGAAGTTTGGTGAAGCTGTGGAGCTCCCTGACTCTTCTCGGCTCCTACCAGAACAAGGCCTGTGCCTTCAGAGTCCTGCAGGTCAGCAGACTTGATCCCCGCTCTTCTCTCATAATAAGAATTTTCTCAGAGGTGATCCACTCCTAGAAAAGTTAATAGACTAAAGAATTGTGACGCGTGATGACAAATAAATCAGAGTTCTACCAAACTTGCTGAAAATCTTAACATTTTTTCCTCCAGATTGTCGTCATTAAAGCTGCTAATTTGATGCACATCATCCTCTCTTGTGCTAGTATAACATGCTGTAATGTACACACCTGTAGGATAGTCTCTTGTTTGCAGATGAGGGTGAACAAAGTGAAGTTCTTCACTGATTTTCAGCTTCTGAGCCACAAGCCCGTGAACAACCGATCAGTCACCTTCCACAGAGTTTCTGATGGTTGGGTCTCGTGTGTTTTTGGGTTTTTTTTGTGCCGAGCATCAAAGCTCTGTGTCGACCTTGAGACTATCAGCTGTGAATACCTTACCGCCCCTCTCGAATCACATTACCTCTGAGGCGATTATCTCTGCCGCCAGGCACAAAAAAATTACGTCCGTGTGGAAGCATTACACATATGTTTGAGCTTTATTGTGCAGAACGCTGTTCTGTATTTGCACTCCTGAGCTGAAGAGGAAAGTTCCTGTGCATCAGCTTTAATCTCTACAGGTGATACGTGAGCTTTTTTGTTCTTGTTCATTTTGCTTTTCTGGACACTGCTGCTTTGGATTTAAAATGAAGTAATGAAGAAGTTGCTTTAAGTGTGCACTATGAGGTTTAAAGAGGATGAAACTGTATTTTTTTACTCTGTTTTAAACAGATTAGTGCCAAATAAATATGTAACTGTTCTTTTTGTAGCTGCTGTTGTTAGATGAAATTTGTATACAATAGATAAGGTGATCAGTAGGGATTCATGTGACGCACAATAGCAAGGCTGCAATCATAGCGGCGTTCGCCACCATGAGAAAGAGACTGGGAGGCATGCAACATCATGGTTGACTTAAAGAGGACGTTGTTTCAGAAGTTTCAGAAAGGGACTCATTTAGAGTTGCTGATCTCCCCTTAAGAGCGTCTCGTGGACCGTATCAGCAAGGCCGCTCTTTTTAGATGTCTTGGCACTATAGTCTCTTGTGCTGGTGCTTCTGCAATTGATGCTGGATTTTCCTGTGTGGAATTAAGTTTCAGTTGTGAGCAAAGATTGTGTTGGTGTGGCTAAAAGAAACATCCTGTTTCTCGAGTTGCTCTGTACGGGCTCACAGATGCATGCACCACAGTTCAGATCGCTGTCTCTCCCCTAGAGGCCCATTATGGCAAACGATCATTTTGTTCCATCTGTAGGTCAGAACCTTGGATTATTATCTCATAATTTTGATTTACTAACTAAAACTCCTGTAAAAATGAGCCAAACTTCCAGTAAAGTTAAAGTTTTGAGATTAAAACTCCAAAATTTTGACTTATGATTGGCAAAAAATATTTTTGTTTTGTTTTTGTTATAGAAACAAGCTTCCAATCATGAAATAATAACATTTTTGTCATTT